TCCACCCCAGGTCAGTTCACAACTCTCAGCTGCCTCACCTGTGGGGGGTTGAAACTCAGGTACAGGGCATCGCCTGCTGGGAGGCTGCGCCGCCTTGGGTCCACAGGCCTGCGGGCCCATGGGGCCTCAGCTGGGAGTGGCTCTGTCTGGCCCAGGGCAGCCAGTTGCCTGCGTGCCTCTTCAGCCTCCCGCTCCAGCACAGCCCGGGCCTGCTCACTCTCTCGGAGGCGGGCTTCCAGGCTGCCGGCTTCGGTAGCCCGCTCTTCACCCAGCCGCCGGCAACGCCGCAGCTCCTCCTGCAGCAGCGCATGCTGCCGCTGCAGCAGGGCCAACTCAGTGGCCTGCTTTTCAGGAGCTGTGGGCACAGCCCCAGATCTGCCAGCTTCCCCATCCCGGGAGTTGGCTCGGGACAACTTCTCCCTCCTCTCAGGGCCTTCAGGGAACCGGGCTTCCATCAAAGTGTCCTGCTGGGCCACAGCCGCCTAGGGGTGGACCACAGGTTAAGGGTGCATTAGAAACTCCTATTTTTTCCTGCCCCCCCTCCCCCCCGCCCCCAGGCTCAAGCCATCAGTCCTGGTGAGCCAGGATTGTGGGAATATTTAGAAAGGCTGTCAGGATAGTCATGCCCCGCCTAAATGGACATGTCTGGCCTAGCCTTTCTCTTCCCCATTCTAGCCCTTGTCCTACTGACCTGTAGGCCATGCAGAAGTCCATAGAGATTGACCAATCGCTGTAACGCCTCCTGAGGACAGAGAGGGTGGAAACAGGGCCCAAGCTTCAGGATGGGAGAACTTCCCATAAATTGAATAATTATGGGTATGGGGACAACGGTATTTGCAAAGACACTCTGAAGTGTAGACCCTCCCCCTCGCTACTCAAAGTTGGGTCAGAATTTCTCAGACTGAGAATACCTTCCTTGAAGTTCCTATCTTACCTCCTGGGGAGATCTCAGCTGATTTCCATTTCGATCCTGTAGAAATAGCCAAGGATAGAGTCAGCAGACAGGCAAATCTCTACTGCCTGCCCCCAATAGCTTTCTGTAGAGGATCTACAAACTACCTGTTCCTTTCCCATCTTCTAGCCAAGTCTTGGAACCTTTTTATTTTGGTTTATTTTGAGACAGAGTTTCACTTTGTTGCTCTCAGTTGAGAGCCATGATGTCATAGCTCACAGTAACCTCAAACTCTTGGACTCAAGGGATCCTCCTGCCTTAGCCTCCCAGGTAGCTGGGACTACAGGCGTCTGCCACAACACCTGGCTAAATTTTAGAGATGGGGGTCTCGCTCTAGCTCAGGCTGGTCTTAAACTCCTGAGCTCAGGTGATCCACCTGCCTCAGCCTCCCAGAGTGCTAGGATTATAGGTGTGAGCCACCATGCCCAGACTTCTTGGAACCTGTTGAGGACCCACCTTCTGGCTGGAGTCTGAGTCAGCTCTACAAAGTTCAATGGAGCCATTGAAGGTTCTGGCCTCACCATCTGTTGAGAAGGGGAAAAAGATGGGGCTGGGCTAATTTCCTAGGGCACTAACACCACTCGTTCCTTGGTACCAGCCCACTAGTTTTACCTCCCCACCCCCATCTATCTTGGTTCCCTGCCCTGACACTCACTGGCAGTGACTCCAGGACTCGTGTTACCACCGCTGTCTAGTTCCAAGGGCAAGGCTGGTTCTCGGGGCATCAAGAGCAATTCTACCCCAGGACCCACCAGCAGGTCTTTCAGGCTCTCCACTGTGAAGAAAGAGGAAGAGGTAAAGACAGGAGTGATGCAGGACACACTGTGGGAACGCTATTTGCCCCCCATGCCAGGGACACTCAGGCTTCCAGATGCAGCTATAGAGATTCACTCATGTGCCTGCATAGCAGGCAGAAGGCATTAAAGACTCTTGTGGGGAGAGCTGGGCACAATGGCAGGCACCCGTAGTTCCAGCTACTAGGGAGGCTGAGGTGGGAGGATCACCAGAACCTAAGAGTTCAAGGCCAGCCTGAGCAACATAGTGAGATCCCTTCACATCCATCTCAAAAATAAAAAAGGACATTTAAGGGGCAGGAAAATCGTATGCAGCATAAGTGGTGTCAAACAGAAGTAAGAACCATGCTCCTCCCCTGCCTTCCCCAGGAACCAGCATAGAACAGGCACTCGGGGTGTGTATGGCCTCTGGAGTTGGTGTCAACCTGTTCTGTGTGGTCAGGTCTAGCCACATGTCCATGTTCTGTGATGCCCTCCCTGGGAGCTCCCTTACCCTCACGGATAGCATCCTGCAGCAGGCGCTCGCCACGAGGGGACTCAAGAGACTCTGAGCGGAAAAGGCCCCGGGGCAGGGTGGGCAGGGACATCCCACTGTTGCCATCCTCTTCTGCCTGGAAATGAGTCATCTCAGCAAACAGCCCAACTTTCTCCTGCAGCAGCTCCACCAGTGCCTGGTCCTTCTGCCGCAGCTCCACTGTGGATAAAGACAGGTGAGCACGTGGGGGGCCTGAGACCCAGAAAAGCCAGTGGAGGGGCAGTCATGCTATAGAAGGAGGGCTGAGAAGAGTGGCAGGACTTAATTCTGGTTTATTTACACATACAAAAAAGAAAAGAACCTTTTTCAGGGGTAAAAATAACACATGTACTTTTGCTTTTAAAACAAATGTAAAAAGGCTGGGTGTGGTGGCTCATGCCTATAATCCTAGCACTCTGGTTAGCCAAGATGGGTGGATTGCTTGAGCATGGGAGTTCAGGACCAGTTTGAGCAAGAGCAAGACTTCATCTCTTAAAATAGCTGGGTGTTGGCTCAGTGCCTATGGCTCAAGTGGCTAAGGCGCCAGCCACATACACCTAAGGTGGTGGGTTCGAATCCAGCCCAGGCCCGCCAAACAACAATGACGGCTACAACCAAAAAATAACCAGGCGTTGTGGTGGGCGCCTGTGGTCCCAGCTACTTCGGAGGCTGAGGCAGGAGACTCACTTGAGCCCAGGAGTTGGAGGTTGCTGTGAGCTGTGATGCCACAGCACTCTATCCAGGGCGACAGCTTGAGGCTCTGTCTCAAAAAGCTGGGTGTTATGGTGGGCACCTATAGTCCCAGCTACTTGGAAGGAGACCAGAGAATCACTTGAGCCCAGGAGTTTGATGTTGCTGTGAGCTATGATGCCACAGCATTCTACTGAGGGCCACAAAGTGAGACTCTATCTCAAAGAAAAATAAATAAATAAAAGTAAAAAGGATTCATGGCAGGGGTTGTAGGCTGTCCACCAGCGTTTATTCTCCCATCTTCCTTTAATCAGAGAATGCACATAGGCTTCACCTGGGTAATGGCTGCCCAGGTAAATGACAACTTTTCCCAGCCTAACTTGCAATTAGATATTGTCACATGACTAAAATCTGCCCAGTGAATGTGAGCATCTTCCAGACCTGCCCTTTAAACAATTAAGTATAGGTGGCTCGACGCCTATAGCTCAGTGGCTAGGGCGCCAGACACATACACCACAGCTGGCAGGTTCAAACCCAGCCTGGGCCTGCCAAAAGACAATGACAATGACAACAACAATAACAACAACAACAAAAAAAAATAGCTAGGCATTGTGGCAGGTGCCTGTAGTCCCAGCTACTTGGGAGGTTGAGGCAAGAAAATCACTTAAACCCAAGAGTTTGAGGTTCCTGTAAGCTGTGAGGCCATGGCACTTGACCAAGGGTGACATAGTGAGAGTCTGTCTCAAAAAGAAAAAAAAAAAAAGAAAGAAAGAAATGAATGTAGGCTTGGTGCCTGCAGCTAAGTGGTTAGGGTGCCGGCCATATACACTGGGGCTGGTGGGTTTAAACCTGGTGTGCTGCCAAACAATGACAACTACAACAACAAGAATATAGCCAGGCATTGTGGCCGGTACCTCTAGTGCCAGCTACTTGGGAGGCTGAGCAAGAGTATCACTTAAGCCCAAGAGTTTGAGGTTGCTGTGAGCTGTGATGCCACAGCACTCTACCAAGGGTGAGATAGTAGGACACTAACTATCTCAAAAAAAAAAAAGTGTAAATTATTTGTCCCTCTGTGCCTCCCCAAGAGGTGGCATGCACACGTGACAATGGGAGCTTAAGTAGCTACTTTGGATATGGACATAGAAGCTTCCCACTGAAGATGGCAGAGCTGCACTCCCAAACTTCCCACTTTGGATTATTATATGAAAAGGAATAATTTTCTACCTTTTTAAGCAACTTGTTTTTATTACTCTTTTTTTATACCAGTTAAATAGTAGCCTAAATAATATAAGGCCTTGTCGTGAAAGCAAGTTACTGTCCTCACCTTCTTTTCTATATTATTTTTACACAAATAGTAGCATACACTTTACATTATTTTATTTTGTTTTCTTTTTTTTCTTGTAGAAGTCTTGTTCTATTGTTCAGGCTAGAGTGCCATGGTGTCATCATAGCTCACAGCAACCTCATACTTCTGGGCTCAAGCAATCCTCTTGCCTCAGCCTCCCAAGTAGCTGGGACTATAGGCAAACGCCATCACAACTAGCTTTTGTTTTGAGACAGAGTCTCACTATGTTGCCCTCCATAGAGTGCCGTGGCATCACAGCTCAAAGCAACCTCAAACTCTTGGGCTTAAGCAATTCTCTTGCCTCAGCCTCCCAAGTAGCTGGGACTACAGGCGCCCACCACAATGTCCAGCTATTTTTTGCTGCAGTTGTCATTTTTGTTTAGCTGGCCCCAGCCAGGTTCGAACCTACCATCTTCAGTGAACACATCTGGCGCTGCCATAACCACTGCCGCTCCATAACCCGTGGTGCTAGGCCTCACAACAAGCTATTTTTTTTTTTCTATTTTGGGTAGAAAGAGGGTCTTCCTCTTGTTCAGCCTGGTCTTGAGCTTCTGACCTCAAGGGATCCTCCTGCCTCAGCCTCTCAGAGTGCTGGGATTATAGGCATGAACACCTGTGACTGGCCTAATAAACCCCACTTTTTTATTTAATAGATTTTGGTTATGGATCCTTTAATAGTTGCATAGTATTCTAAAAAGTGGACATATCATAAATTATTTAACAAGCTCCCTCTAGACCGACTTACTCTTGATTCGCCGCAGGTAAGCCTCATCTTCTGTCTCAATCAGGGGGAAGTCTTCCCTGGATGGGCACCTGGAGGGGTTACAGGTCAGGTGGGGTTGGGAGACAGAAGCTGGGTTATAGGCCAGTCTCAGCCTGCATTCCTTCCCAATGTGTTCTGTGCGCCCCTCTTCTGGTAAGATTCCTTGACCTCCCAGCAGAGGGCCATCCACTCCTGACCCTCTCCTTTTCTTCTGCATGTGCTGGTATGTATCTCTCCAAAGATGGCTTGAAAAGGCAGCACAATGGCCAGGCACAGTGGCTCACGCCTATCTAGCACTCTAGCAGGCTGAGGCAGGTGGACTGCTTGAGCTCATGAGTAGTCTGAGCAAAATTGAGACCCTGTCTCTATTAAAAATAAAAAAACTGAGGCAATGGCTCTGCGCTATAGCTCCGAGGCTAGGGCTCTGGGCCACATACACTGGAGCTGGTGGGTTTGAACCCAGCTGAGGCCTGCTAAACAACGACAACTATAACAAAAAAATTGCAGGGCATTGTGGCAGGTGCCTTTCGTTCCAGCTAATTGGGAGGCTGAGGCAACAAAATCACTTAAGCCCAAGAGTTTGAGGTTGCTGTGAACTGGGACACCATAGCACTCTTCTGAGAGTAATCTCTCTATTGTGAGATTCTGTCTCAAAAAAATAAAGGCTTGGCACCTGTGGTTCAAGTGGCTGAGGCGCCAGCCACATACACCTGAGCTGGTGGGTTCGAATCCAGCCTGGGCTGCCAAACAACAATGACGGCTGCAACCAAAAAATAGCTGGGCGTTGTGGCAGGTGCCTGTAGTCCCAGCTACTTGAGAGGCAGAGGCAGGAGAATTGCTTGAGCCCAGGAGTTGGAGGTTGCTGTGAGCTGTGATGCCATGGTACTCTACCCGGTGCGACAGCTTGAGGCTCTATCTCAAAAATAAATAAATAAATAAATAATAAAAAACCTGAGATAAGAGGATGGCGTTAGTCCAAGAATTGGAGGTTGCTATTAGCTATAATGCCACAGCACTCTACCCAGGGTAATAGCTTGAGATTCTGTCTCAAAAAAAAGAAAATAAAAAAAGAAAAGGCAACACAGTGCAGAGGTAACAGTACAGGCTTTGGCATCAAGCACACTGGGTTCAAATCCTGGCTCTATTTACCAGGGTTAACCTCTATCTTTCATCACTGAGAAATGAGGGTAGTACCTTCCTCACAGGATTTTTGTTAAGATTAAATGAGATAGGCTCAGTGCCTGTAGCTTAGTTGTTAGGGCACCAGCCATATATGCCAGGGCTGGCAGGTTCAAACCCAGCTCAGGCCTGCTAAACAACGACAACTGCAACAATAAGAATAACAACAACAAAATAGCTGGGCTGTGTGGTGGACACCTATAGTCTCAGTTATTTGGGAGGCTCAGGCAAGAAAATCATGTATGCCCAGAAGTTAGAGGTTGTGAGCTGTGACGCCAAGGCACTCTACCCTAGGTGACAAAGTGAGACTCTGTCTCAAAAAAAAAAAAAAAAAAAAAAAAAGATTAAATGAACCGTTACAGTGCTTCAAACATGACAGAAGCTCAATAAATCAATTATATTAATGTTATTAATTATAATTAATATTAATAATTATAATTTATGTAATTACAAATAATAATATTTCTTCTCCTTTTGAGACAGGGTCTTACTGTGTCATTCTGGGTAGAGCCATGGCATCATAGCTTACAGCAACTTCAACCTCCTAGGCTTAAAGATCCTCCTACCTTAACCTCCCAAGTAGGTGGGACTATAGGTACCACCACCATACCCGGCTAGTTTTTCTATTTTTACTAGAGACAAGGTCTCGCTCTTGCTCAGGCTGGTCATGAACTCCTGAGTGCAAGGAATCTTCCTGCCTCAGCTTCCCAGAGTGCTAGGATTACAAGCAAAAGCCACTGAACCTAGCCAATAATAAATACTATTAATAAAGAGTTTAATATGGCTTGGTGCCTATAGCTCAGCAGCTAGGGCGTCAGCCATATACAACGGAGCTGGTGGTTTGAATCCAGCTTGGTCCTGCCAGACAATGACAACTATACCCCAAAAAATAGTGGGGTGTTGTGGTGCGTGCCTGCAGTCCCAGCTACTTGAGAGGCTGAGGCAAGCGAATCACTTAAGCCCAAGAGTATGAGGTTGCTGTGAGCTATGACTCCACAGCACTCTACCAAGGGTGACACAGTGAGACTCTGCCTCAAAAAAACCAAAGAATTTACTATGGATCTAGTGTCAGTGGGGCAAGTATTTTGAATTGTTTTCTTAGAATAGACAATTTCATATTTTTGTATGTACTTCTGAAAAACGTGTTCAAAAGTCTAAATTGCGGCTCAGCACCTATAGCTCAACCGGCTAAGGCGCCAGCCACGTACACCTAAGGTGGCGGGTTCGAATCCCCAGCCTGGACCCGCCAAACAACAATGATGACGGCTGCAACCAAAAAATAGCCGGGCGTTGTGGCGGGCACCTGTGGTCTCAGCTACTTGGGAGGCGGAGGCAAGAGACTCGCTTGAGCCCAGGAGTTGGAGGTTGCTGTGAGCTGTAATGCCATGACACTCTACCCAGGGGGACAGCTTGAGGCTCTGTCTCAAAAAAAAAAAGTCTAAATTGCAGGGGAAAAAAAAGCCCAGGAGAATCATCTATCCTCTGAAAGGTAAAAATTTTTTTAAAAATCCTAGAGTACATTTTTAGGCATTATCTTTAAGAAAGCATTTAAAACATTTACCTGTGCTTTACTTGCCTTTTTTTTCATCACAATTAGACACTTAGTTGATGGCCTCAAAAATCTAATGTATGTCCAACAGAAGCTGAAGGTCTGCAGCCTTAGCATGCTGCTTTCCTTCTTGCTTCCATTATGTTACATTTATGAGGCTTCTTCCTTATCTCTTCTACCAATGCTTTCATTGTCCTCTTTTTCATTCATTTTTAAAAAATACAGGTCAAATCCAATCCAACCCAAGTAACATCCCTTCATCTACAGACCAGGATGTGAATATAACTGAAATTACAAAGTTTACTGTCACTGGCAGGTATGTCTCCAGGTGACAGCTCAAAGTATACCTTTGCTTGCCAGCTCATAGTGCATTTAAGAGGTAGCTGAAAGTTGGCAGCATATGAAATACAATTTTTTTTTTTTGAAATAAAACTTATGGGACATAAGAAACATAGGTGACATTTCCTGTCTTGGACCATCTTGTCTCTTCCTCAGTCTCTGCCCCCACCTCTGAACAATGGGTTCTACTCCCAGGGAGTGCTCTGACCTGGCATCTGATGTTACAGGGACCCCCCAAGGCCACACACAGGCAGCAGCACACTCACACGCATACACTCCGCTGAATGACGCGGATCCAGGTGCTCCGGTCATCCCGGGAAGCTGTGTGCACCTCATACATCTCGGGCGGGGCTGCACTGATCAGAAACATTCCTTTCTCCTGGTTAGCGATGTCCCGCACAATTAAATTCTGCAGTGATACCACTGAGGGCTTGTCCTGCCAGTCGGGAAAGGAAGGATTAGCCTGGGAATCCAGACCCTTAGATATTGGGTCTTCAATCCTTCTGGAATTCTCAAAGGGTTGGAAAGTCATCCTATAATAAAAGTTAAGAGCCCAGGCTTTGGTACCAGCCAGAAAAGCCTTTCAGTTTAAAATATGTTTGACACATTATTTAACTAACTTTAAGAGTTACTTTCATCATCTGTAAAATGAGGATGATAGGGCGGCGCCTGTGGCTCAAAGGAGTAAGGCACCAACCCCATATGCTGGAGGTGGCAGGTTCAAACCCAGCCCTGGCCAAAAACTGCAAATAAATAAATAAATAAATAAAAATAAAATGAGGATGATAATAATAAGCCTTTTTCACAGGTGTAAAATGCCTGTGCAAAGTAATATTACCTATTAGCGGTTTTTATTATAATAATTACAACGATAGCTGTTTTCTAGAAGACTCTGGGCTCTTCTGGACTTAAGAAAGTAAGAAGGTGTGAAATGGTTGTCTGTGCTGAGAAAGAATGACAGAAGTCTCACCAGTGTGGGAAAGATGTACTTCTGGTCCTTTTCCTGCAGAAACACCAGCACATCTGTCATCAGCAGCATTAGCACATCTGGCAAGGGTAAAGGCCAGAAAACAGTCAGCCCTAGAGGGTCTGAACAGCTGTTCCCCTCTTTCCCAAGGACTACGCTCACCCCATCAAGTTAGAGCACCTGGCTCCCCTCTTCCTGGCCCCTTTAGTCTCTGGTTGCTCCCTCCACCTTTTCAGATCTCTCACCTTCCCATTCTCATAGCTCAGAAGTGGCAGGTTAGTGGGGACCACAAGGCATCACTCAGTCAAAGCTTTGGAGAAAACACTCTTCAACCATTTGATTAGGGTTTCTCATCCTGTGGTCTACAGACCCCCAGATTCATTGGCCCTGTATTTCCTCTGAAGTTGCATAAACAGTTTTACATATTAACATAACATGTATGCGTATTTTTCTGGGTGGAAGGGTATGAGATTTTTGTGAGACTCTTTTAAGAATTTCCAGAGCAAGAGGGGCCATACTTTCTCAGCCTTTAAGTTCCCTATCTAGCATCTAACTAATGTAAAACATTTCTGGATATGTGACCTCAATCCCCCCTGCCTGGCATATTCTCACTTCTCATTTTGTGCTCCATAGGGAGCACAGTTTCCTTCCTTTAGAGAAGGCCTCAAAGACTATACTCCATCCCTTTCCACCAGCCCCGATAGGCCCTTGCCTCATGTTCCTTCTTTGTCCACCCTCTTGCTCTCGTTTCTATGAGGTCCTGTACTCTGAGACCAAGGAAGGAAACAAAGATCAATTCTGTAAAACTTGGATGTCATGGTCAAGAAAACACACACTCATCCTTTGCCCTTGGGGATCTTACTAAACTGTGAACACACAGAAAGGGAGGGCTTTTGCTAAATGCTTCAGAAATAAAGCTTTCCAGCCTTGCTATTTTTAATCACCCATGGTTTATATTCTTAGCTGATGCGTAGGAGGGATGAGAGGAAGAGAAAAGGATGAAGGAAAGAGGCTGGTGAAGACTGACAATATCCAAGCCCAGGGAGTAGTGATTTCATGATGTGGGTTCAGAGGCTCAGGTAGGTTCTAGCCTCAGGTATCACGATTTACTTTTGTCCTTCATTCCTTACTCCAGAACCAGAGACCTATTCTTCTCTTGTTTTTTTTTAGACAGAGCCTCAAGCTTTTCCCCTGGGTAGAGTGCCGTGGCATCACAGCTCACAGCAACCTCCAACTCCTGGGCTCAAGCAAGTATACCGCCTCAGCCTCCCAAGTAGCTGGGACCACAGGCACCTGCCACAACAGCCAGCTATTTTTTGGTTGCAGCCATCATCGTCGTTTGGCGGGCCCAGGCTGGATTCGAACCCACCACTTTAGGTATATGTGGCTGGTGCCTCAGCTGCTTGAGCCACAGGTGCCAAGCCTCTTCTCTTGTTTTAAGGAGGAGCCTAGAAAAGTGTGCCCTGTCCCCCAACCTATTCCCTTTGCTCTGTTCTCTCTTCTCTGCCCTGGGCTCAGTCCCCTCCTTTGGGCCTTCCATGTGGTATTCCCAAAGCTCCTAGATCATTCTCCAGCCCTGTAGTCAGGATTCCTGCTAGGGAGAAGCAACCACCCTGATCCTGTCCTCTGGTCTAAGTTTGTCTTCCCCAATAAAACCAGTAGCTCTTTACATCTGGGCATGATGTAAAGACCAAAGAAACGAATAAATATTGATGAGAAAGTCCCTAAGATATCCATAAAGCTAAATGCAGAATTCAGCCTTTGGTTTTACTTTTAAGACAGGGTCTCACTCTAGAGAGCAGCAGCGTCATCATAGTTCACTACAGCCTCAAATGATCCTCCCAAAGTGCTGGGGTTACCGGTGGAAGCCACTGTGCTCACCCAGAATTCAGACTTTGGCTGCCACAGAGACCATGTTTTCTCCCTTGGAGACTCACTGTCATGCCGGCTGCATAAAGAAGTTAGTGCTAAGGACTGGATACATTTCCAGTTCTACCCCCGACTCTGGATGCCTGCCTAGTCTGCCAAGTGGGTCACTGACCTTTGAAGCGCCCAGTGGCTGTCTTCCAGAGCAGGCAGCCATCGTGGATGAGCTTACGCCGCAGAAGTTCCTCTCGGCCAAAGGGGCCCTTGCCAGGCACCGGGGTCTGGGCCCGGGGATCCATGCGGTTGTAGATCTCCTGCAGACGGGCCCCCTTCTCCAGCTCATGCACGTCTTGGTCCACGTTGGACAGTAACTCCTTCACCAGCCCTAGTGCTGCTGTTAGGTCTTGATGCTCCTCCTCGCTCCCTGGCACCAAGAGGTTGGCATGGAAGGTGGCTCAAGCCAGCTTTATTCCAGCTTCAATTCCCACTGGGTCTTAATTCCAACTTTAGAGTCTGCATAGAGTTCCACATCTGACCCTACCGCTTCCCTTGGTCACCCTGAACCCTCCCTCCAGGCTTCTTCCCCCGGGCCTTCCACCCACCATGGCAGTACTGCAGGATGCGGCCGATAAGCACTGGGTACTTGGTGATGCGCTGTGTCACCAGCAGGATGCACTCCTGCACCCCATGCCGCTTCAGCACAGCTGAGCGTGTCACTTTCTACAAGAGAAGAAGCAGGGCTCAGACCAGGGCAACAGAAAGGCTCAGCACCTAAGGTCTGGTGCCCACCTTGGCCAGTTACCTTGCACCGGCCTAGGTGGTCACATCTGGAAAGTGGAGATAACAACATTACATGTGTTATGAGGACCAACCAAAGTAGTGAAAAGTAACTAGGGAAACTACTGTGCCGTGCTCTGCCCATGTGTGGGGTGGCCCATGGGGTGGGGAGTGGGGAAGCTTACACGCACAGCATCCCTCAGATGGGGAGCTGGGTTGGGGCCAGGAGACGAGGCTCTGAAAGGTCTGCTCACCCGGATGAATTGTTGGAAACGTTTGTCTCGGGCGTACAGCTCCTTATAGAGCTTTAAAGCCTTGGTGTGGCGGCTGCAGAACTCGGAGTAGGTCTTACGCATCTGCTCTGCGCTGGGCCCTGAGAACTGGACGTTGGGGGAACAACACCAGGTTGACATTTCCCCCAAAGCCACAGACAATCCCCTCTCCCTTGGCTTCCCACCTCTCCAGCTCTGCCTCCAAACTCCCCTGAAATGCCTACCCCAGTCCCATCTCCCTCTGTGAACATTATCCAGAGATCTTTGCCTTTCCCCACCTGGCTGATGAGCAGGTCACCCAAGCGGTGGATGACAAAATTCCGGGTACTGCCAGGGGACAGGGCCTGGCGCCGGCGCTCTAAAAGCTGGCTAAGGAAGCGCATGTGGATGTCACTGAGCTCGTCCACACAGGGAAACAGGCCCTGGACCACTCCTGGTTCCAGCTGCAGCTCTTCCAGCATCCCCGCTCGGAAGAGGCGGGTCATGATCTTCAACGTCCTCACGTGGTGCAGCTCTGTCTGGATTAACTCTGTGGGGGCAGTGGAATATTTGACCTCTCCACTGACCTGGCCACAATTAGTGGGGCCCTAGGCTAGGAACCTCAGGGCTCTGAGGAGGCTTTCGAGGTCTCTTCTCGGTTAATATTTTGCATTATTATGATCTTAGACCACTTGCAATCATTTTTTGTCTTCATATCTTATCACCTCAAGCTGTAGGCTATTTTAGGACAAGAATCATGTCTCGTATCCCTTTAGCTTACCACTGTCCCCAACACAGCATGAGACATGGAATAAATACAAAGTAAAGACCAAGGACTGGGTTGAAAAAGGGATAAGATAGGGCCCTGGAGAGCAAGAACACATTGGTAGGGCCCAGTGAACAGCCCCTGGGATGCTAGCAGGGTCTTGGAGGCCAAGAGGATTAGGAGGGAAATGGTCTTGAATGGCAGGGCTGACAGAGTGGGACATAGACACAGACAACCTGGTAAGAGATGATCAAGACTAGGGTGGTCTTGGCTCACCATAGATGACATCCTGCTGCTTCATCACCTCCTTTTTATGCTGCTGTAGGAAGCTGCCATCCACGGCCAGGCTCCAGGAATCAGCTGTGAAGTCCTTCTCATCCATCTCAAATTCACTCATCAGCTCATTGTAGATCACCTCCGCACCTGTATATTGGTGGGGGAAGCAACTCAGAGCTGAATTCTCTGCCCAGAGGTCTGGGCCCTTCTCTAGATCCCTTCTTGCCCCACTCCTCCCACCAGCCACTTAGCCCACTCAGTCTTCCCCAGGGTCCACATGCTCACCTTCGTCAATGAGAGACTCCACAGACAGGGCTCGGTTCCGCATGTTGAGGGAGTCTGTGGACTGTGAGAGGATCCGGCGCAGCCCCAGGGGAGACTCATCGTTGAAGTGTCTGAAGGAGGTGGAGGCTGTCTGCACCACCCCGCTGGATAGAAGCTCCCTTCCCACATGGGGACCGAAGGTCGGGAGCTGAGAGGCAGTCACCCTGAGCTCTCCTTACATGTCTTTCTTTGCCTCTGAACTCAGGGGTGGAAAAGGGCCCCTATCCCACTACCACCCTCTCTGCCTGCCTTGCTGCCCTTCTCTGTGCAGAGGCTCACCCAGCAATGTTGGTGGTAGAAACACTCTTAGCTAATGACAGGGAGGAGCGGCCACGGCGAGAGCCAAGGAGAGACTGCCGGAAGCTGTCGGAGGGATAGATGGCGGAACTGGGCCGCTCCCGGATGGTTGCTATGGGGCAGAGAAACGAAGCAGATGAACCTTAGACTCTGGCTCCTCCTTGAGTTCAGGGCTTCTCTCCCCCCACCCTCAGCCCCTCTCTAGTCAAGAGAGAAGGTAATGATGACATCACCTTACATTTGTGCAATCTTTAAATGTTCAGAGCTTTTTCTTGCCTTATCTCTTGCTCAAACAAGCCTATGAGCAGACTAAAGCTCAGAGCAGTTAAAGACATGTCCAGGCTGACTCAGAAAATGAATAAGGACTCGAACACTGCTTTTGCTGCCCAAGTGCCCTGCTCTTCCTATTATATCAAAGATGTCTATGCCAGTAGCACTCCCCAAAATGCAGTGTAAATAACTGATAATAAAAATATAGGATGCGTTGGGCAGCACCTATGGCTCAGTGAGTAGGGCACCGGCCCCATATACCAATGGTGGTGGGTTCGAACCAAGCCCTGGCCAAACTGCAACAAAAAAATAGCCAGGCGTTGTGGCAGGGGCCTGCAGTCCTAGCTACTCGGGAGGCTGAGAAAAGAGAACCACCTAAGCCCAAGAGCTGGAGGTTGCTGTGAGCTGTGACCCCATGGCACTCTACCGAGGGCGACAACCTAAAACTCTGTCTCTTAAAAAAAAAAAAAAAGCAGGATGTGATCAGGCTTGGATGACCAGCCATCCCAAGCCCTCATCTCATCTGGACTCTTCTGTCCTGCCTCTAAGCCCAAGAGTTGGACGCTCCCTTCTGTCCTACTGTCACTTCCCTAAGAGGAAGGCGCTGTGCCTGGGAACAACCTCAGGGGGGCAGCAGAGCCCAGGGCTGCAAGCCTGGGGGCCAGGGTCTCCTGCAGGCTCTTCCATTTGCCCACTACTCACTCTTACTTCGGAGGGAAACAGACTGCAAGGCAGTGTTGTTCTTCAGCAGAGCGGCTTTCTGTTGCTGTGAGACAGAGCAAGAGAGACACTAAGAACAGCCATCACCCCAAAATCACCCCCATAGGTCCTTGGCACAAGATGGGTGGCTGGCCCTCTTGGAAGAAAGCTGGCACTGTGGGTAAGGGCATTAGGGCAGCTGAGCCCAGTGCTGTGAGAATGTATCTACAGCAGAAGGCCCGGCAAACTCAGGTGGGCCTGGGGGTGAGGGTCTAGGTTGTCCCACGGTGAGGAGGGGGTTTGAGGAACACAGGGTAGGGAATGAATGGAAAAGGCATGAGGGCACCAATGCTCACTACCCTCTCCCCAGCCCTCTGCCCTCCCTGCCATCTCACCTTCTGCTTGACCTTGGTACAGTTGGCGAGGGTGTCTTTACAGCGGTTGTGGATAGTCACATTGCAGGCTGGGAGGGTGGGGTAGAGAGGGTGAAGGGAGGGCCGGGTGGTACAGGAGGGGACAGACCCACATGCAGACACCCACCTCCTCCTGGCCACATAGTCCTCAGAGATTCTCCCCCCTTCCCAGACATCTTGGCCATGGCCACACCCAGCCCCTCTCCTCCCACCTCCCTCTTTCAAGCAGGAAACGAAGTGAAGTGAGAGGAGGTATGGTTGCTAGCAGAAATAAGCACTCGGATAGGCAACCTGACCCAAAGATGGCCTGAGGGGTGGACTAGAGCAGTGGTTCTCAACCTGTGGGTCAGGACTCAAAGAACTGTATTAAAGGGCTGCAGCATTAGGAAGGTTGAGAACTGCTGGACTAGAGGGAAAAGGGTTACTGGCTGCCAGAGACAGCTCAGGAAGCACAAAGAATAGAAATGGAAGAGAAGACTCCACAGAGCAAAAGGTGGCACGGAGGCAGTTGGGATGGAGCTAGGGATGGGGGGCTTTTAGTAAATGCTTCACATTCATTTAATCCTAAAAACTTCGAGGTAGAAAATCCTTATTTTACAGATGAGGAACCTGTCCTGGAAAGGTTAAATTATTTGTCAGTGGTCACACAGTTAGTGGTACAGCTGGGATTTAAATTGGGCATGCATGAGTCCAAAGGCCACAATGCTTCTGTTGTACCGCATGTATACCCCAGACTTGGTCTAGGCAGTGGGAAGGTTGATAGAGCCAGTGCAGAGGACAGGTGCCCCAGCCTATGCCCTGCCCCTCCCCACTAAGCATGCCTGCCTTCTCCCTTCCAGGCCTAGAGAGTCCTATTCCCCTCCCAAGGCACATCCACAGCTCCCACACTCCATCTGCTTCTCCCTCATCCTCCGCCCCACCTAGCCATGGGATAGAAAAAGAAGAGGAAAGGCAAGAAGGATCAGCCAGCTTAGGCAGGGGGACTACCGGCTGTCCCCTTCCCAGACATGTCCTCAGCCCTTGGCCCTCTCCAGCTTCCCCTCCCGTGTCCAACAACACCGGAAACTCTGCTAACTCTTTCAGACAATACCCAGCACCATGCTCACTTCCACAAATACAAGGCAGAGGGTGGGGCAGAGGGGCAAACAAAAGTGGAGGCTACAGCTGCCCCCACCCCCTGGAGCTCCCTTCTCCTACCCCCAACACCCAGTGTCTCTTGATGGAACCTCCGCTTTCCACCTGCTCTCAAAATAGCGTTGCCGCCTCCCCTGTTCCCGTGGTAACAAGCTTCTGGATTGGGAATTTTGTCAGGTCTCTAGAGGGATCTAGATTGGGGTTCCCTCCTCATTCTCATAAATTGAGCAGTGAGGAAGTAGGGAGGCCTCCTTGTTCTTTCTGGGGGTTCCTCCCCCAAGTTCCATAGAAATTTAGAGGCTAGAGCTTTTGTCCTGCTACTCAGCAGCCAGTCACAATCCCTTCATTTCTGCTAATCAGAAGCATCTCTGCCATAGATTCAGAAGGAATTAGGGGAGAAGAGGAAGGCATCCTGGGGAAGAAAGGCATTTCTTGCTTAGACTCCCTAAATACCCCAAATACAGGGCTCCCCTTGGATGTGGGTAAAAGTCAGGTGTTCTAACTATACCCAACACACATCCTTGCTGTATTCCCTCTTTCTCACTGTGTAGTCAAACTAGCAATTTAAGATGAAGGCTCTTAATCTTATCCTCTGAAACAGCAAGGATTTTAAGCTCCACCCAAAGTTAACAGAAAAGAAGGGGCAAGGGGACCCTGAAGTCCCAAATGTCCAGTTCTGCCCAGCAAAATGGACAGAACCAGCTGCAAGTCTGGCAGCTTTCCACCCAGCTCCTCCATCACCCCCACTCCGCCCCTCCACACACACCACATTCCTGCTCCTTCTCCCGTCAGCTCCCCTCACACTCAGCAGCTGTTCAGGGAGCAAGGGGGATGCCCAGCGGATGACAGCTGCAAAGGGAGCCCCCCCCCCAGCTTCCCCTCCCCACATTCCCAGATAGTCCTGCTCATGCTGTGTTCCAACAACTGCCACCCCTCAGGATAAGGACAGGGAGCAAGGGATCAAGTGTCTGCCCTGACCTTGGGCCCAGCTAAGCTCAGAGAGGACAGTGACCCTTATGTATCCAGGGCAAAAGTGCAGATAAAAGGTTAGGGTCAGTGAGTGACATTTAGGATCCTGACAACTTACTTGGGCAGATGAGGGCTTCCTTGGCAGTGATGCTCTTGTTGCAGGCGTAGCACATGGTCATGCCTGAAACCGAGATGGTGGTGAAGAGGTGCCCATTGGTGTAGCGGGCATCCTTGGCTTCCCTCATTTTCTCCTTCTCTCGGGTCTGCAGAAGAAGTGAGAGAGACAAGAAGTGAGGCTGGAAAACACCAGGGTGCACGGAGTCCAGAGACAGGCTGAGGGCAGAGGCAAGGGAGAGAAGCCTGCCTAGGGATGCTGGAAAGATACCAACTTCCAGAGCACAGCCTGCCACAGGGTATCAGCGGCAGCTGTCCAGCAGTGAGCACCTAAGCTCTGGGTCTCTGGCCTACCTGGCCCCTACGGCTGGGTTGCCTCCTGTTGCCACTCATCTTGCTAGCTCTGGGGACCCGCGTCCTTACTGCACCTCCTGGCCTGCTCTGCTCGCCCCCGAGCTGCTGTACGCTCCTCTCTGTGCCAGGGGGAGATGCGCAGAGAGGAGGGGAAGGCGAAGCAGAGGGTGCCAGCTCACCAGCGCTCTCCAATCTAGGGGAGTTAGCTCCTCTATAACCATGACAACCAGTGTTAGAGCTGTCTCTGTGGCAGTCACAGTTGGGGGGGCAGGACATCCCTGATTAGATTGGCTGAGGGGGCAGAATGTCTCTAGTACCACCCCCAACCCAGAAGTCATGATCTCAAATCTCTAACTCTCCCATTTACACTCAGTCACAGCACTTGGGTCTCTCTCTAGGGGGAGCCATGTCCTATGTGACCTGGGGTCAAGGGGAGCTGGTTTGGGGTCATGCCTCCTTTCTGAGAGTCTTTAAGGACACTCAGCCAGCTGGCTCAGCTGCTCTCAGCAAAATATCTCTCTTGCAGTCTAACCTCTCTGCCTTTCACACAACCCTCCAGTGACAAAACCTAGGACAGCTCCCTCTGCTGCTCCTCACCCACTGGTCTCCCTTGTCCTTTCTGACCCTGACTCCCAGCCTGACCTCCCACCCACCCTGTGGTCTGTGCAGAGATGGGGCACACCGACCTCCTCAGAACCATTTCCCATTTCCTCCTGCTTTCCCACCCTCTGCAATCTAAGCCCCTCTCCCTGATCTCTGATCTGTCCCTCTTCAAGCCCCTATGTATCCCAAAAAGCCTGAGAAGGTGGAAAGATAGGGATATCCTTTTCCCCACCTATTCTAGGACCTTCCTCAGTTGTTACTTCAGATCTCTGGACTTTCCCTTCATGCTGGCAGGACACAGAGAAGGAGCAGAGCTGCCAAGACCACCCTCTAGGTTTCCAGCCTCTCAGAAATGCACAAACAGGACCCGGACTGCTGAGGCTGAGAGTATAGGCCTAAGTCTGAGGCTGAGAGTATAGGCCTAAGTCGCAGAACCTGGGCTGCGAACAGATACCACAAGTCGGTGGGGAGCCTTTGGGCTGGACCTTAGGAAACCCGACTCCTGGCTTTAGTCCTATTGGCAGTTATGAGACAAGGCAGCTGAAGAGACACACAGGCCTGGTGTTTTAGGCAGAAAACAGCAGAAAAGGGAAGTGTGGAGGGGCTGAGTCAACAGTGCAGGGCCAGAGGGCACTGGGCTGCTGGGCCCTAGGTCTTGGGGCTTCCTGGTGGGTGCCCTTTTCTCTCCTGCCTACAGTTTGCCTGATGATATAAGCAAAACCCAGAGGTCTAGAGGCCATTCTCTAATCTCTTCTCCCTCATGAACCCTCCCTTCTCCAATCATCTGTTCTTTCCTCCTCCTTCATCCTCTTTCTATCTCTTGGTCTCTCCTGTCCTCCCTTCTCCTCTCAGGGTCTCCCACCTGGGCTCCCCTCCTCTTTTTCAGCTTAGTTTCTCCTCTCTGCCCATGCCCACCCCCTTTACCTGGAGTTTATCCAGGAAGCTGAGCACCTCTGGCCTCTAATCTGTTCCAGCCTCCTTGTTTCTGCTCAGCTACCTGCCTGCCTGAATCACTAGGAAAATCTTCCCTCTGGCCTCTATCCACCTTGCTCCAAAGTATAGATCTTTGGAAGTTCAAATTTGCCTCTGGATAATAACCTCACAGGACCTCAAAAACCAAGTTCAAGTATTTCCTCCCACTGCCATTCTCTCTTGCTGTCCCAGTCTTCCCTATGACACAGATGAAAAGTTTGAGCACTAAAAATGTCTATAAATGTGCTCATCTGTAGGAAAGACCAGACAGAGTTTGGCCTCTTGAGCTGAATAAAAAGTTTATTGAAATAAAAAGAAAAGACAAGAAAAGAAAAGTTTGAGCACTTACTATGCTTGGGGGGCGGAGAGACAGTTTATTTTTGCATGTCTCTGATGCCCCTTTTGGTCTGTGACTGTACTGAAAGCAAGCAAGCGTGAAAATAGTGTTAAAAAAAACCTGCCTAGACCAGAGTCACTCCAGAATGGGCAGTGCTGCCTATGCTTCCACACCTGACCTCTGCCCTCCAGCCTTCACAAGCACAAGCACTCACCTTCCTGACTAGCTCTCATGAAGTGGCAAAGGGAGACAGCAGTGTCTCTGGGGCCTTTCTCCTCTCTGGCATTGGTACCCACAGGCAGCCATAGTACTCCAGGCCCTGCCTCCTCAACCTCACAGAACTCACCCTCCTGTGAAGTGGCCCCCTCTCCAGGTAGGCCAGCAGCGGGCAGCAGCCACCGCAGCAGCAGCACATCCCAGCACCACAGCGGCAGCACATCCCAGCCAGGCACCGTCCAGCAGCAAGCAGCCCTGGCACTGCCTACTGCTATTGTCCCAGAAGTGGCTTGTGCCCGCCCCAGGCCTTAGGCTGGTGAAGATGGAAGAAGGCTCAGAGCCTGTGGCTCAAGTGGCTAAGGTGCCAGCCACATACACCTAAGGTGGCGGGTTCAAATCCAGTCCAGGCCCACCAAAAACAACAATGATGGCTGCAACCAAAAAATAGCCAGGCGTTGTGGCAAGTGCCTGTGGTCCCAGCTACTTGGGAGGCTGAGGCAGAAGATTCACTTGAGCCCAGGAGCTGGAGGTTCCTGTGAGCTGTGATGCCACAGCACTCTACCTGGGGGATAC